CTACAATGATCAAGGCCCTCATGGATGAAGCTGAGAAGTGTATTCCTGAGACGAAACAAGTGAAAAAACGAGTGCCCTTAGAGAAAGAACTTGTCAAGGAGAAAAGGAGCGTATGGAAGAAAGCCTATTTGAAAAATAAGCGCCTCTCCAACTCTAGCAACGCAACTGACTACCTAAAACAGGCGCGAAAGAGGAACTTCAAGCTGCATTTGACAGCCAACAAGTGGCATATCTGACCCAGAAATGCGCCGAGATTGAAAACGTTGTCGTGCAGCATCATGCAAAAAGAGCATGGGATACGCACGTCAACCGGGGTTGAGCCTTTTTCTCTTTTAAAATGCCTTGACGCTAACATATTTCTATTGCCAAGTGTCTTTACTCTTATAGAGATGATTTGCCCAAAAATTTGTTCAAAGTCAGGACTCAAGAGTCCAAAAAGTCCACTTCCGGTTCACGTGAGTCGCTCAAAAAGACATCAATTCAGAACTTTTTTTGCGCTGTTAGACCCTACTGGTTTCGCCCTCATCTTTAACATTAATGTAAAAGATGTTCGCAGAAACGATCACCTTTCTGAAAAGCTGAAACGAATGTCTTTAAATCTCATCCGACAATTAAATTACGTTACACCACCGCCAGTTCTTCGACCAATCAGCGTGAATTCGTTGAGCTCAAATAAACATCGCTTTTCAAAAGCATTGCTGAGGAGACAGTGAAGTCCACCGGCTTGTCCTGAAGCTGTTGTGAGTGTTTGTCCAAACCTACTAAGAAGTGATGCTCGACGGTGAAGAATTCATTCAAGAATACACTAATCAACTTAACGAGTAGATAGGGAAGGGACTGTTGCCGAATTTAAACCAAATTCTGCCCTACAAAGTGTACAAAAATCGAGGACAGGATATCGGAGCCCACGAATCGATCGTTCTCTCCACACATGATAAGCATTTCGTTACTGTGGAATTAGGTTTCATGAAAAACAAAGGAAAGAATCACCTCTTCCCCAACAGTTTCTCTTGATATACGGCGATATTTTGGGTATAGTGCCAGCTTTGTTCTACTGTTTTTTAAAGGTCATAGTTTGTTGTATAACAGCTTAAAGTTTAAGATGTCTCCGTTTGAGTAGTGTTCTTAACGATAAGCAAAAGGCACTGTTTTAGACATTCTTCGCAAAAAATAAAGATAAAAATATGTCTCCCCATCGCCCGATTAGAAATATATAATTGTCAGCCCCTTTTCTTTCATAGCCCCCTGCCGGTTGAGGGGTCACTAAGCGGCTGTCAATTCACTGTTGGCTTATTAAACTGGTGATAAATTCACCAGCACACCTGAGAAAGTAGATTTTAGTACTACAAAGCTTAGGAAACCCATGAACTAAAGACTCTTCTGGGAAAGTTTTTTAATGCTCATAGCCAGTTTTGGGGTACCGTAATTTATCACAAAAAGCACTTATACCTACAAGCTAGCCCAAAATTAGCGCCAAGAAACATCTGAACAATTGCAATAAACCTATTTTTTCAACGGTTACGAAATCATTTTTAAGTGTCCAAACGTTCTCCGTCGTTCGAAGTTTATATAAAGCACTGTTCCTGGAATCGAACAAGAGCATTTTTTTGTCCTGCGGATCGTTTGATGAATTATGATTTTAATCTTAATTCCCCACAGGTCCGTTTACCTACTTCGCTTGAAAAAATGTTCCAGCTTCCACGCTTTTGACCTTGATTTTAACCATTTAATGAAATTTGACACAGTCAAGTGGTTTTTAATTTTATACCATGTATTCTTTGTCTCTTTATTTGCTCGGACTACTATTTCTCGGTAAAGGAGTAGCTAAAGACTGATGGTCGGCATTAAAAGATATTAGACCACTACTGCAGTCCAATACACGCCTTGCATGTACGCGTTTTGTCTGTTCTCAAGGGAGGTTTTGAGTGGAAATGACATCAAGGTCAACAGTTTTTCTAGCCTGTGAGTACAGCCATTTCTCCTTGCTCCTCGCCACTAAGGACGTTTCGCCAGGAGGACTTTCCTCCTGGCGAAACGTCCCTGGCGGAGAGGAGCTAGGAGAAACAGCTGTACTCACAGGCTTAAGTTTTTCCGGTTCGAACGATATGAAATTGCCACCAGCCTCGAAATTGTTAAACGGGAGGTCAAGCTTGTGACAAAACCTAAGCCATACCTGTCACCAAACTGGCTGAGCGACGAATGATAGAGAAACAGTCACAAAGCAAACCAGCTAAATTATGTTTATTCGTTTAACAAAATATAAAAAACAGATTGAATAGCTTCTTACCACAAAGCCTCAGTATAAATGGTAAGTGGTAACTTCTTTAACTACTAAATTCTGATCTTACGAATTTATCACTTTTTTATGAGGATACTAGGAAAAATATATCTCTTATTATTATCTTTTTTCGATTTTTTTCATCCGCAGCTCCAATATGACATCCATGTATTTAGCCGGGTCGCATACCCCACTGAAAAACAATATTCTACTTGTTCTTGGTGCGTTTTCCGCGCTATAACATTAAATGTGGAAGCTCCATTTTTCCGTCAAAAAGGTCGAAGGTTTTAGAACAGGATTACCTTTGACATATAAAGAAAATTCTTTTCCTAACGTCAATTTCAAACTGATTTTCAAACTAGATAAGGCTAGCCTGGGTGCAAATCAGAGGATTTTCAATGTCGCAGGGACTAACCATTTAGAGGAGTCGTACTTCCTCCCTTCTCACGAACTCCTTTAAAAACTTCTGCGTGAGAGGCTACGCGGAGGTAGGACAATAGCTAATAATTGACAAATTAAATGGTTTTAAATTGTAAGTGAAAACATACAAGGACAGCTGAATAATAACTAGAATTTCGAATAAGAGCTTTAAGATAATCACTTTCATTTCTAGTCTTGCCAAACCAGGTCCGTGAAAGTTGGCTAAGTCAACAAACAGGTTTGCATAAACACACTAAGTAGTTGTCTGGTAGAACACTTCTACATCAGTGGGAGTGAATCTGAAGGATCCTGCATAAAATTGACAGGAAGAGGGATGTGTAGAGTAACCAGGGGGAAGGTTGTAGGAGTTGCCACAGTAGGTGTAGGAATTGCGGTTGCTTGCAGCATTATTGGTGATCCACAAGTCGTGTCCTCCACCAAACGTTGGTCCCCTATCAGAATCTGTGTAAATAGCGTCACTTGACTTGCTGTTTACCTTAACCGGAGCGTAGCCATTGATGTTATATAACGAGAACAGGAACGATTCGCTGGATGAGACATAGCGACAAGAACCTGTGGAAAAAACATGTAAAATTTAGATTACAGATACGTTCATAAACTGTATTGGTCAAAGGCTTCACCTATTAAGGAGCAAAAATATTCAGTGCCCTCAAGTAGGTGAAAGCTAAAATATGAAAGCTACAATATGTATAAGAGAAAAAATTCAATATCAGTTTTCATTTTCCAGGAACACAAGCTACAAATAGATTCTTAGTTCAAGTTTGTATTTTACCATCAATATGAACAATAAGACTTACTGAAGTCAAACTGGCCTCGTACTAGGCTAGATGCCAATTCAAGATACGGGAAATATTTTATGGTGTTGCAAGTTTTCTTTTTTCTACTCACTTTTTTTGACAGCAGTAATGTAAATTCATTTATTGATATGAAGTCAGTGTCACATAAAGTACACCTATACTAAATTATCTGGACGACAAAGTTAGTGTTTAATCAATTAATTAATTAATTTTAAAAAAAAAGACGATACTGAAAAATTCCTGAAATTTTCAATGTATTCGCCAATATAGGAGGCTGACGACGTTTTAGTTACAGTGGGACCCTTGCAGTCACACATTCGCGTAATCAGTACAAATAAAGGTATACAAAAGAAAGTATGCATCCTATGCCAATTTAATTTGTGTGCGATTTAGTCTGTAATGAACTCAGTTACTCACCACCCCAAGACTTGTCAGTGTATCCACCAAATATGTAACTACCAACTTGGACGATGGTTACAGTGGGACCCTTTCCATCACAGTTACTGTGGAATGTTGATGCCGCCCAACCATCAGTCTTAGCGTGCCAACACCTCACAAACCTGCTGCGACCTGGACTCTGAAGGACTGGGTCTAAATAAGAATTCAACTGGTCAAGGTACTTGCTGCCAAGGCTGTCAAGAATGCTGGATGAGCTAAGAGCATCTAAATAAACGTAAAAGTATTTTTAACTTTTTAGCAATCAAGCACTGTACATAAAAAGTTCTCAATCAAATTTCTATGTCGTAGAATGTAGGTAGATAAAATCGGGCGTAACATAGTAACACTGTGAACCTACCATTTAAAAAAAAACAACATCTTATGTTCAATAAACTCTTTCTTGGGTATTTAAATTTTTTTCCATTTTCAAATTTTACCTAGGGCCCGACTTCTTTTACTCGCATTCTTACGTGACCGGTTTAGTCCTTCCGCCTTTCTTAACCTTCGTTTCCGCTTTTGTTATTCCTTTCAAAAAAAACAACGAGTCCCTTATAATACCACATACTACAGGAGCCTGTAGTCATGGGATCTTGTAAAATATCATTCCCTTTTATTTATTCTTAATCCTTTCTGTGGCAGATAGTAAAACGAATTATTGCCGCTTCGATTAGATTTTTTTTCCTTTATTCTAAAATCTCTCACCTTCCTCCTGATATAATTTTCTATTTATGTCATTTTTGTTGTTGTTTGACGATTTTTGGTATATCTACTGTGTTTCTAGGATTTTAACACAAACTTGGGGTAATTAAATGGTCTTTATATGGTTTAGTTTCTTCTTTTTGAATATATGATAATAGTTATACTCTATTTTAAAGAGTATCCAAGTTAAAATACCTTTCTGAACCTCAGTATAAGTTACAGCTACCGCCTTTAACACCCCTGACACAGATGTAATATCCTTTATCGTTCCTTGTTATGTCTCTAATCACTAGCGAGCCATTAATCTGCTGGCTCCGCCCAACTGGCAGTTGACCTCCTTGTTTCTTTCACCTCATGACTGGTTTTGGATCCCCAGAAGCTCTACAGTTTATCCTCAAAGTTCCTCTTAACTTCACAACAATTTTTACAGGTGGCTTAACAATAAAACGAGGAAGCGAGGCAACAACTAAGAGAGTTTTCTTTTCAACTCGTCCTAACAGGTTTGATGCTGAACAGACGTAAACGTCAGAGTCCTCTTTCTGAACATGTAGAATTTGCAATGCACTGTTATTGTACTTCACCCTTCCCTGGGGTAATTGACCGGACGACTTTCTCCATGAGACCACTGGTGTTGGGTACCCAGTCACGTGACAAATAGGAAGGGTGTAATTGTCTCCTTTGATGGCGCAATGAGGTCCCGGAAGGAGAGAAACGCGCGGATGAACTGCAAGGAAAAATGCTTTGATGAAATTTGAAAACAGTAATCAGCATCACATGACAAAAGATGTTCAAAAATTGATATTGTCATTGATCTTTATTATGGTGGGGCCATGTTTCGCAATTTGCCCGTTATTCAGATTTTTTCCTATGGAAAGGTCTCCAAAACAGCCTGTCCGTGGAGGCCATATTTACCATAAACCGATACTCGTCTCAAGACAAGACAAAATGTTCCTTCTCCAACAATAAAAGTGAAAAAACGCTCTTTGGCTGATTATGAAGAGGAAATATCAACCACCCGTTTTTTTTTTGTTTTTTTTTTCTTGCATCCCTAAAATAAGAAACCAATTTACCTTGCAACGCCAAATAACCGTGGGTTAATATCAGCGACGAAATCGTTCTTTTACAGTAGAAACAAAATAACCACAATTCCACCATGACCCTAACTAAAATTCCTTTCCCTTGATAAAAATTTCATTTATATTTTTAACCGTTGGTTAATATCAGCGATGAAATCGTTCTTTTACAGTAGAACTCAAATAACTCGAATTCCCCGCTGACCCTAACTAAATTTCCTTTCCCTTGCTCAAAATTTCATTGATATTTACCCCGATAACTCAAATTTCCTGAAAACTCGAACGGTTTTTCGTTTCCCTACAGAGTTCAAGTTACCGGGGTTCTACTGTAGATTACATTGTCAGCACTTAAAAGTGTTTGAGGTCTCTTTTGGTTAACTATTTGTGAAGGCTTTTGCAAAATATATGAATTATTTTTTATTAATGCCCAAGATGACTTAGCATTCCACCAATCGAATCACCCGAGTCACAACAAACTTACCATTTACCACAAGTTGTACTAGTGCATGCGCCTTTCCTAAGATGTTGACCGCTGAACAGTTGTATTTTCCCGCGTCATTTCCTGCCACGTTTTTTAACAGCAGCTTTCCTCCTGATACCACTGAAGGACTCATTTGTGACAGACTATTCAGTTTACTCCATTTTAGTACAGGTTTAGGATTACCACTCACTGAACACTGAAACAAGGCTGATTCACCTTCGTTAGCTGTCAGTGTTTTAGGGGACACAGCAACAGCCGGAGCTGAAATTGATTTACCAGGTTCTCCTTTAGCTCCTGGCATGCCAGCAGGTCCCATGTCTCCTTTTTGTCCCTTGAGTCCAACATCACCCTTAGGACCTGATGGTCCCATAATACCTTGCTTGCCACTCTTTCCAGGCAATCCCATAATACCTTGGTCTCCTTTCTGTCCTCTTTTGCCTCGGGACCCTTCTTTTCCCCTCGGACCTGGTGGCCCGGGGACGCCTAGGAGACACGAGCTACTTTGCGATAATGAGTGGTGCTGTCTTAACTCTGACAAAATTTTAAGCACTGTTGCTTGTACGTTTTTAATTTCCGTCTTGTTCTTGATAGTATCAGCATTGCGCCTTTTCCTTTGACGTTTATTGGAATGAGGGTCTGAAAAATACGACATTAATCTGTGACGTCAATGGCATCAAAACAAGAAAGTGGAGCACCAAACCATTTACATCCGTCTCTCCTCGCTTCTTACCGCTAGGTGACGTCTGCGACTCAACGACAGAAATTCCATACCGATGACGTAAACTGTCCGGAATCCGGTCAACGTGGTAGTTACGTGGTTTTTGTTTTGTTTATGGATGACAAAAGAAGACAAAAAGGCCACAAAGGTGAAATGTAAACGGGATGAATCTACTTAAAAATAGTCAAGATTCGTGATTTATATACTTTTTTAGAAGAAACAGCGAGGCTCGTTCACAGGAAAACACAAAACCATACCATAATCGATCAGGAGAAACACAAAATTTTCAGTTGGAATTCCATGACCAACAGATTTGTTACGTACGCATCAATTTGCGTCATCAATACAGAATTTCTGTCGCTGAGGCACAGACGTCCCTTGGGGTCAGTAGCGAAGAGAGATTGCTGTATTCGCTAACCAATAATTTACAAGCTTTTTTGTTTAAGGCAAATGCCTTATACCATAATTATTCATAGCTGTATCGCTGCATTTTTCCCAAAAGTCTTGTACATTAACTTCCCTTCCTCTAACCCTTAAATAATAAAGAAGCAGTGATTGATTATCTTACAGTTGTTTATTGGGCCATTGTATACCCCTTGATAGTCTAACGAAGATCAATGATCGTCAATAAAAGTTTTGTTCACCATTCTGTTGTACGCTGAGTCTTTTAGCTGAGGTTGGTACGTAGAAGTGATGAGAAAGGAATTTTGAGCAAGCGTTGATAAGCGTTACCTGGTCAGTTCAGTGGAAATCTTTTTACGAAAATTTTCCGCAAACAGGCAAGACTCGCTATGTCTTACGCCTGTGATGCTAACAGCGTTTGAAAAGATATCAGTACAGGATATTTTCCGGTCAGACTCGAATGTTCCTCTGCGCAGTCTAATGTTTCTTTTATGCTTTTCTCCCAGCGCTATTTTGCACAAGCTTAAAATTTGTTAACTTTTGATTTTTTTTTCTTAATTCAAAATGTAACACGATAGTTACTGTCATTCAGAGCATTTCAGAATTCTATGATCGGCCGAATTCCAATATTTCGGAGCGCTCGAGGAGCTGTTAATCAGTAAAAATAACAATGTAAAACTTTCATTGAGCTTTCTTCTCAATGAAAAGAATTCTGTTCGAGTCTCTTCACTACAACAATATTCTGTTTATAAAATGGAGAGGGGCAAAAAAGACCATAGAAGCTTTCATGATAATGGGGAGTTTTACTACCCTAAAAAGAGTTAGAGAGGGAATTTAAAAGAAATAAATGCCTTTTCTGGAAAAGCTTTTTTTTTTTCAATTTGCGTCAAAGAAGACATTAAAAATATTTTTCACCAGCTTAGCTGTAATTTTAATGTATCGTAAAACATACAGTATTTAATTTTATGTCCACTGAGTAACAGTACTGATAGTTAGGAAGGTCAATCAATATATCTGTACCAGAAGTGCACTAGCATTCCAAGACTTCCGGATCTTAAAAGACGAGATTATTTAATATAACCATATTGACGATATTCATTTAGCAAAATTTAGCTTAATTTGTAAAATCTTGGCGAAATTGTCTGGGGTTAAATCCGAAAGGACCGTATCTGAGTTTAGAAAGAAAAAGATTTCTTGTGCTGTGTTCATCAACTCCATCAAGGGGGAGCGTGAAATTAGGAAGTTTCAAGTCGTTTCAACGACGGCTGAGAAATAAAAAAAACGTGTAATGCACGTGCAGCAAAGTTGTTGTTTTGCTAATATAAACCGATTGCTTACCAGTCTCGTTGACATCGCCGTCGTTGTTGCTTAAGCCCCCCATTGTTGTGATCAAGAAATGTTGCTACCATGGTAACGTGACGTCACACTTCTACTCTTTATTGATGGCTTGTTTAGCTCGGTATCAGATGAACAGTATTTGTGGTTCGGCAGTCAGGATAAACCAGAACATATTTATTATAGTGGAATAGTTATGAAACCCGTTAGACTCCTTTGTTATATGTTTTTGTCAGCTTTTTTGGACCTGGGACGTGCACAACGTTTAATCGCATTCCTATCATTTTGAACTTACTGACCAATAGAAAGATCGCCTTAATTTATTCAGTCACACAATTTGTGAACAAAGAACAAAAGATTGTGCACGGTCAGAGAGCTTCCAACATAAACTACAGCACTGTTGTTTTGAACTTTGATGTTTGCCGGGCCTCCTCTACTAACTATGACCAGAAGGAGAAAAAAAACATCTTGGCGTCAAGCCATATCTTCATGGCTGGTTTAGTCCCTTTAGCTAAGCAGTGAACGACTTAGGCCATGTTTTTAAACGTCGCATTTCACATCTGCAAAACTTAATGCATGAATTTTAGTAATTTATTATTATGTTACTGAGAATAATGACAGCGAACAGAGTTAAATACGACGTTTGAAACAAATGCCATTATGACTAGAGATACACGTGGCTTTTAAGGCTTATTTAACCAGCAGCAGTCAGTACAATAAAAGGTCAAACGATCGTGTTTGTTTGGTAGATGGTGGTTGTGTATGTTGTTTTGAAACGTCGAGTATTTTTGTCAAAAACTTACCAGGATTGATCTCCTTGCTCTTTGTTACGAGGTCAAGAATGCTGGCTCGTGATTTAGTCTCTTCGATGCTCTCAAGAGCGTTTATTCTCTTCTTCTGTTCGTTTAGATCCAATTCTACTCGTAGAAAACCGGCGCAGTAAAACACGATTGACAAAACAGAAAGAATTAAGGGAAAGGAAGGCTTTTTCCGTTCTTTCTGAGCAGTCATTTTGTACTGAGTGCCGCTGAAATCTGTACTCGCGAGTGTTCGGTTACTTTGCTTAAAAACACTCAGTGTTTCAGCTGTTATACCCCCAGCTTCTCAAGTATCGTGCCAGCGTTGTTCTGCTGTTTATGAAACTTCCTTGTTATGTTCTTCGATACACAGGATAGGTTATCGCTACTTTCGCGTGCTCATTTTTCTCAAGTTTTCAAAGATTAGCTGTGGTCTTTATCCAGCGTTTCCAAGGCGTCTTGTTAAAAATCACCAGATTGTCTGCAAAATGGGAACTTCTATGGGAACGATAGGCTTCCGCGGGTATTCTCTTCAAAATAATATGTGAGATACTTTTCTTTATCATAATTATAAAGTTTCGACACAGTGTGGAGGGGTGCCCGGAAAACTAACACTGAGCTAAGAGTTAAGTTCCATAGAGCTAAGTCCCGGAAAACTAAGTCCCTGGAAACTAAGACCCAGGAACCTAAGACGGAAAACTAAGACCCGGAAAATTAAGATCCCTGAAAACTAGTCAGTCCCGGAATTGTTAAAGCTAGGAACTGGAAATCCAATACCGTGAGAAGTAAGACCGGGAAATAGGGGAAGTAAAGAGCAAATAAGGGAAGTATAAAGCTGTCTTACAAATTCTATGAAAAAAAAATGTGATGTCTTCAAGAGGTGTCCGGCTTATATAGAGACAAACAATGTGACTCCAGTACAAGAAACTAAATCTGGACTTATTTGCAAATTGCCGAATGAATAAATATATGTTTTTTGCGCGCCAAACACTGAATTCAAATTGGAGCAATGTAATAGAAAAGTGGGATCATTCTCTCACTGTGCAAACAATCGGCGCTCATTACAAACAAACGTTCACTGCTTAGTGGTCTAAAAGCGTCACAGTATAGAGTTTGCGATTTGGAATTAGTCTGCAAAAAAAAAAGGCAATTTACCGTATACTGTTTTAAGGTATTTTTGAGGTATTTTCACTAAATAGAGCACTTCGAAAGTGTCCGTTGACGGTTTCAAAAGTGTACCTTGTCCGTTTTAAAGGGGTGTGTGTCCTAAGAGAGTATAGATACACAAAAATAACAAAACATAACGGCAGAAACCAACACCAGTTGTCCGCCTTATAGAGGTGTGCATTAATAGAGGGTTGACTGTATATGCAGACTCTTTTCAAAAAGTTAGGGGAAGGATATGCAAAAAATATCTGCGGTACGCAGTTTAGCAGATATTTGTTTTCTGCACGTTCTTATATGGTTAATTACGTGCATTATCTTGCCAGTTTGTGTTTCGGTATTTTTGGTGTTAAGTATTTTTCATACAGTTATATAAGCGTCTTGTTCATTCGTATTCGTCCTTCGGGTCTGTGAAAGCCTAACAACCCACAGTCTGATTTCATCGCTCGCTTAATGAGCAAGAAGCAAGGATCTTCGGTTCCGTCCGTTAACGTAAGCGATGCAACAGTCGTTGTGTTCCATTAATGAGGCTATTAGGGCTTCTGTTGCGGAGTTTATCGGTTCTTTAGCGGATAACCTTCCGCAGGTTATCAAAGATCGCCTCAGTGGCTTTACAAAGCGATTTTCGGAGGAAATTGCGAGAATAACGCGACAGCCGTGCAAGCCGTTAACACTGTTAATAAGGCCCCTGCAGCGAAGTTTTAGTTGTGAAAGAGAAGGAAATCAGCAGCAGCTCGGGATCACGCCCTGTATTAGTTCTTGGCAACTTTAAGGAATTGACGCGTTAAAGTCCCAAATCTACCGCCAAGTTAAGTCAGTCCTGGGAGCAGGTACTGGTTGGTTTCTGCGCGTATAAAGGTTTTTAAATGGCCGATAAAGTGACTTTAGCTGGTCTACTGTGAATGAATACCTTTCCGGCGAGCTTGCGTCGAGTTTTGAGGACGAAAGGAAGACTGATGTATAGGGCAGAGAGAAGAGCAGAAAAGAAATCCAAGGCAGGCGTCGCCGTTTTCGCCCCGTCGATCGAAAGGTCTAGGCTTCTCCCACTTCTACCGCTTTTTCCTTTCAATTTGGATCCTCAGCGAGTGCTCAGCCTAATCGATGGGTTTTTAACTCTTCGAATGGTTTAAGATAAGTATTTCTCTTTGCTTTACATCACACTTCAGACTTGCTTTGTTTTTTCCTTCGGCGGACATATGGCGTTCTCCTAGGCCATATCCAATATTCTCCATGATTTGTTGCTTATGTTGTTTCTTGTTTTCCTATTAACTTCTGGAAAGTGCAGAATGCAAAAATATCTGCGGTACGCAGTTTAGCAGATATTTGTTTTCTGCACGTTCTTATATGGTTAATTACGTGTATTATCTTGCCTGTTTGTGTTTCGGTATTTTTGGTGTTAAGTATTTTTCATACAGTGAGATACATAAGTGTCTTGTTCATTCGTATTCGTCCTTCGGGTCTGTGAACGCTAACAACCCACAGTCTGATTTCCTTTTATTGTTTTGAATTTCTCAGCTTATTGGAAAAATTGTTTGTTTTGTTTTTTAGTGATTGAAGTTCGGCTTGTGCTCACGTCTGTTTCTTCATTTCAAAGACCAATCCTCGCAGTGACTGGCTACAATATGGATGAAGGAAAGGATTCATTTGTCAATCTTCAGATGAGTGTGATTTGATTTATTTTAGTGTTTCCGAAGAATTTTTCCTGGAGATATCTGTTCATGAGTTGTTTAAGTTAGTCTTCGTGAATCAAGCCTAAAAGCACCTCAGTTCACTGTTGCTACCATTGCCCACTTCCGAGTTTTTAGCCAATGGCTGTATTATCGAGCCTGGTGAGCCTCCATTCTGACGGTTGCAGTCGTCATCGATCTTACGCAGTCACGTTATTTGCTACCTCGTTCGATTTAAGTTTAAGTACGAGAATTTTTCGCACCTTATCGCAGGTTTTTAAAGAGGGGCACTGAGGCTATGAGTGGGACCTATAATCTAGATTGACATTTCCTTAGATCACCAGAAGTATATAGGTTTTTCTTGGCCCTTCAAGGTGTGCTTTGGTATTTCCCTTTCTCGATTTTAGTCTTTGGTCTAGTTAAGCGTTTGTTTTTGTTTTACTGACTTTCTATGGGTCTGAAGTTTTTAGTTTATCTCGATGACGTATTTGGTAGTCATCTAAAGAGGACTTCCGCCGCCCGGTAGCTTTTATTGAGCGCAAGGGGCTTATTCTTCCGGTTTCCTTATTGGTCCCAATACTAGTGAGCGAGTGGCTCGGGTTTGCGATCTGCATCATTTGTTTTACGTTTTAGATTCCCGAGAAGTTATCAGCTAGTGAAGCCGCTTTGGCCGAATTCTGCAATTCAAAATGAGTCATCTTTCTATCGCAAATCAGCTGGGATGGCTGGTTCCATTATTTCAGTTGCCTTAGAGGTGGAGCCGCCCATTCCCCTCTTCGTACAAGCCAGACGAAGGTAGCTATGTAGTCTTCATCGGCTTAGGATCACCTTTTTCGCTTCACTCCCCCGCGGCTGGTGGAGTTGAAGTTTTCGTTTTAGTGACATTGACTCTTTAAACGGTAACTCCATTTGACACCCCCCCTTCCCCCCAATGTTTTCCACAGTTGTATTTCCCGACGCAAGCGACGCTTCATTTCGCGGCATTTCCGTCCTGTGGTTAGCGTTATGTTCACGATCGATTATTTGGGTCAAAGTTCTATTTTTTGCGAATTTGATAGCTATTTAATATTATGTTTTGCTTTCTTTTGTAGAGCGGTTAAAGCACAAGAGGGTGAAAATTTTCTCTGACAACCAGAGTGCTGCCAGAGTACTTTCCTTTGGTGTCTTTAAGGTTCATACAGTCGGTGGCTCTAAGCGTTTTTCATGTTTGTTTTCGCATGGTATTTCCTTGGAAGCGCAGTGGATTCCTAAATCGCTCAACGGGAAGGCTGATCTTTTGAGCCGTTTCATTGACGAGAATGATTCGCCAGTTAATCCTTATGTGTTTCGAGTCGTTGAAGCCAAATGGGGTCCTCGCACGAATCTTAACCGTTTCACATCCTATTACAGAGCGTTCAGCTTCCGCGTTTTGACCCCTAGTTTGCTTCTACTCGTTGTAGGTGTGTCCGATGCCTTTGTCCAAGACTGGAGTGGAAAGGATAACTGGATTTTCTTTCCAGTGTGTCTGGTAGTGGTCGCCTGTTTTGAGCCTGATTTGGCCTTGTATGCCCGGTTTGGCACATTTGTGCGGCATGTGAGCCTGATTTGGCTTATTTTTTTGCCTGATTTGGCATAATCTTGAGCCTGATTTGGCATATCTGTGAGCCTGCTTTGGCTTGAGTTGTGAGTCTGATTTGGCATATCAGTGAGCCTGCTTTAGCTTATTTTTGAGCCTGATTGGGCATGTTTCAAGTCAGTTTGGTGTCGGCTCGTTTTGGGCCTGTAATATAATTTTTTCAATTCTTCTTTGCGCGAATATTTTGCTTAGCGCCTCCCTTGTTCAATGTTTTTTGTTCAGTTAAGTAAATAACGCTGTAGTTGTTTTATTTTTACGCTATTTCCTTTTATTTCAGTTGCCCTAAATTCCGGGTTATGGCTTGAAACAGCCCCCTTGACTGATTCTTCGCTGAGGGATACAGTTCTAGGCCTGACTGGTTTGCAGTTGGATGCTAACGTTCCATCCACAGTCTTGAAGATACGGGTCTGGCTTATTGTGGTGGCGTGAGTGGGCTTTATCGAAGACTGGTGTTTCTGCTATTCGAAAAACCTTTGCATGTCTCATTGTATCTATCTAAGTTAGCTTAGCGTTCTGTGGATAACACTGGCGCATCTTATTTAGAATCTGCTTTTTACAGTATAAATTGGGGCCATGCAGTGGCTGGTATTTAAGTTTGTTCTGTTAGCCACGCCTTGCTTAAGTTTCCCTTTAAATTAGAGGAAGCCAAAAGAAGCTAGGCTTGCGCACCCAGTTCAGCCTAAGTAGCTGCTTTCTGTTAGTTTTGTCAGGCAATTGCTGCAGATTTTGCCTCTAAATCGCGATGTTTTCCATCTAAAATATATACATGTAATAGTTTTATGTCGATTTATGTGTCCATACAAGCGCAAAGTAGATCTATTTTGAACTCTGAGGCCTTGTCACGTAGCTGTGACCTAGTGTTTTATTAAGTTCTCGCCTCAGTCCTCCTCTGCGTTTCCATTAGTTCGAAGAATTGTCCAAGCTCAATCTTAGGAGTACAGTATATTATACTTTCATTCTAGTGCAAGTGTTTCTTTATTCACGTTATTTGGGAGAGGAGTTTAAGATAAATATTAAGCCATTAGTTAGTGATGTTTCTAAGTAAGTACCGCACCCACAAGTGAGCGCGAGTCTGACGCGGCGCCCAATCCAACTTGTAGGAGAACAGCTGGTGATTTGTCGGATATCCACGCCGGTTTGAGGTGCGAGCCCACTAAGCCGGCATAGGCATTTTGGGCATGGTCTTAAGGAGCTCTCCGTATCTAGGTCACTTTCAGTCCAGGTGTATTTCGTAGAGATATAGATGTATTTCAGTATATTTTCCAGAATTTGTGTGTAATTGTTAGCGCTTAGCCTTATCTAAGTCACTTTCAGTCCAGGTGTATACAAGTTTTAGTACATCTTCCAGTGTACACGTGAAATAGTTTCATATATTAGAAGTTCTGCTTTTGTATATTGCAGTTCTAAGTACTTTAATTTACAGATATAGATATATTTCAGTATATTTTCCAGAATTTGCGTTTAATTGTTAGCGCTAAGCCTTAACTAAGTCACTTTTCAGTCCAGGTGTATACTAGTTTTAGTATATTTTCCAGTGTACACGTGTAATGGTTTTATATATTAGAAGTTCTGCTTTTGTCTATTGCAGTTCTGAGTAATTTGTTTAGAGTCCTGGCGGGGGACGTAAGTTGCGCCTGGCCCGCCCCAGATTTCCTGTGCTTTTTTCCCTACGAGGTTTTTTGGGACAAGTTTTTTCTGGCCACCCTGGCACACTTACATGTAGCTTTTAGTTTTATTTCATTTGCTGTACTGTTTTGTCTTTTGGGTATGCATATAATTTAAGTGGGTTATTTATGTCGTTACACCCAGGCCATATCAAATATTCTCCATGATTTGTTGCTTATGTTGTTTCTTGTTTTTCTATTAACTTGTGGAAAGTGCAGAAGCAACTTTGACAACAATGGAAAAGCACACCGATACTTCTTTACTTCCTCTCTCCTTCCCTGGAAAGTATATGCAGAGTGTCTGCCCGCTCATACATGATAATTTATATCAGATATGGTGGACATTAGCTGTGAGAGCTGCTTGCCAAGAGATTATAACAGAAAAGTTTTTAGCGATTTTGAAGGATAACGAGTCGAAATCCCAATAGCCTAGGACCAGGCTCCGCATTGGAAGAAAAAGGAGAAAAAAACGGCGTGGGCGAAAAAAAAATCTGCGAGCGAAGCGAGCCGAGAGGTAGTCTGGGTAGGGGAAAGTGAAGGAGTGTGGAATAGTCTGACAAAGCAAAGTCAGGATGATGTCACACGTTTTGGCACTTTTCCCCCTGCCTAGAAGCCTTTGTCGTTCTTTACTTAGTTCTACACTTTTCAGAGGTGTGGAGGTGTGAAATAGTTTCACAAAGTCAGTATAATGTCGCACTTTTCCCCCAGCCTAGAACCAGTTGTCGTTCTTTCTTTTGTCCCACAATTCTCAGAGGTGTTGAAATGCGGAATAGTCTGACAAGGTCAGGATGATGTCGCACTTTTCCCCTAGCTTCGAACCCCTTGTCATTCTTTAGTTAGTTCTACACTTCTCAGAGGTGAGAAAGTGTGGAATAATCTGACAAAGTCAGGACAATGAAACAAACAAGGCAAGGCAAGGGGAGCAGCAAATTTAGTATTGGTACGTGCCGCAGAAATAACATAAAAAATGCTGACCGTATCAAAAATTAAATAAGGAACTTCAACAAGGGATCAACAAGAATCGCCGAAAGGCGATTTTTAACTGGGCTGCCAAGGGGCTATTTTTTCTGAGGGGAGGGGGCGGCTATACACACTCAGGCTACCATAAAACCTTGTCGGCAACCATTGCATGCGACAGAACCTCATGTGAGACTGAAACATAAACTCATTCAAAACATTGTACCCTTTTGAAAGACTTTCGTAACCCAAAAAAAAGAGTACCATTTTTAAGTGGGGGCTGTATAATAACTTTTAAATTCCACCACTATGAATAAAAATAGACAAGTTAGCCATTAATTCTAAGCAGGAAACAATTTGCATTATTTCCATGTACCCCTCCCCTAATCCCTCTGTGCCCCAAAATATAGCGTGACAGTATAACGTGACGTAACTGGAAATTCCAAAAATTGTTGTGTCGTTCTACGAGTATAATGAGCTGATTTACACTAGACAGAAATATTGTATTATATGAAAACCAGAAGTATACTAAAACAGACAGTTAACTGCCCATTGATCCCGCCTGATCCAGGGGCCTCACTGACTGCACGGAGACTTTACTGCGCTTTTCACAAACATGCGAACTCTAAAGTTCAAAAGCCACCTTCACAATTGTGTTTATCGCT